CCCCAGCCAGCATATATTGTGAGCTAATAAAATGAATTAAGTTTCCATAAATAGACTTTTATTCCAAACCTATGCAAACAGACACATTTATAACTGAATGGAACTTTATAAATACAGGGGAAAGAACAATCATTTCCATTTCCCATACACATACACCAACTGCGTCTTTCATAGGTCAGTATATGTGCAGTTGTGATTGCCTGTACTCTCCCCTGGGGTGGAATGGTAGGGGTAATGTAGTGGCCATACACACCACATGGAATGGGCTTCAGAGGGAGGTGAGCACGGGTCTGTTGAAGCTGAAGGCCATCAAGAGTCTGCAACATATCTGTTTGCTGCTTGAGATGCGGTAGTATCTCCTGCTACACATCTCTCTCCTTTCTCTGTGCCTTTCTCCTCTCCGCTTTATCCCTGCCCCTGCTGTCTGCATGGGTGATCCTCCAAGCCCTGTGCTTGGTATTTGAAGCAGCAGAGGCTTGCAGGGTATCTTTGAATATGTCATCCGCCATCCTCTTCTTTCTCCTCCTTATCTGGAGGAGTTGCTCCGCCATTGTGGATGGCGAGACCCTCAAGGCCACATTTCTGGTTGCAAAAGATACAATGCACAGAGCTACTATTCACAAGATAAATGGAAACTTAGTATACTGAACTCACGCCCCTTGACCCACACAATTTGCAAGCAGTACATTGCTCCTCTGGTTCTCCCCAGCCCTACTTCACTCCCAGTACCCTTTCTGCAGGTAGCCAGGCCCTGCTCTCTCCCAGCCTGGAGAGAGACTTCTTTTGGGCCTCTGGCTCACAGCCTTTTTATACAGGCCAGCTGTGGCCTGATTGGGGCGTGGCCCAGCTGTGGCCGCTTCCCCAGTCAGCCCAGCTTAGCGGCTTTCAACCACAACCTTCTCCCAGGGCTGACTAACCCTTTTTCCACTGGAGTGGGGGAGCCGCCCCACTACAGTCCCCTCCTCCTCATCACTGTTCCTGGGGGAGGGGAGGGCTGTGACTCCTGCTCCCCCAAAGTATCCATGGGGCTTTGGGGCGGGGGAGAGGTGTCTCTGCCAAGGATGGCATACAGCTCTTTGTAAAAGTGGCGTGTCTGTGGTTCTGCACCAGAGCAAGTGTTAGCCTCCCTTGTCTTCTGGTACACCTGCCGCAGCTCCTTGGCTTTCATGTGGCACTGCTATAGGTTCCTCTTGTATCCTTTCTCCTCCATGCCCTGAGCAATCTGCTGGGTGATATCAACTTTTCTACAGCTGGATCAAAGTTGTGCCTGCACAGCCTCTTCTCCCCAGAGATCCAGGAGATCCAACACCTTCTGGGTACACTCCTGTAGCATGAAGCTGGCATGGTCAGCTGGGCAGTTGCTAGGCATGCTTGACAGTTGCTAGGTGAGCTCTCCACACCGGGCAAACAGGAAATGGAATTTCAGAATTTGTAGGTCTTTAAAGGGGAGGGCATGTATCTGTGTATCTGGCCTCTTGACAGCAGAGTTCAAAACAGTGACCAGAGTGGTCAAGGTGGGGCATTGCTGGACACTTCCTGGAAGCCACTAAAGTTGACCTAAGTAACACAGTGTCTACACTGACATTGTGTCAACCTAACTACAACAACCTAAGTGCTACATCTCTCACTGAGGTGGAGTTAAGTTGGTGTAGCAGACGAGTTACATAGGTGGGAGTGACATTTTGAGTTAGCTCAATGTAAGCTGCCTTGCATTGACCTAACTCTAGTGTAGACCGGGGCAATGTCATTTAGACAGTTTTGAAAATTGTACCCAAGTTTAGCGCACAGACTTATCAAAGGTTCTACTTCCTTTGCTATATGCATAAGTGATTTAAAGTAGTTTTTAGAATCATGAGAAAGCATGCTGCCTGACATCAGGATAAATCCCTGCCATTACAAAAAGTACCACTGGTTCTTTAACATCTATGCAGAGCAAACAAGATCTCAGTTTTGGAGTCACCAGTACAACCCAGACACAACAAACTGCGTGAAATTCAGTTTCTCTCTCTTGGGAAACTGAATGGCTGAGGTCACTCTGCTGGATGGGATTTGAACATGCGATTCCAAGGAATTTTGCTAAAACAGGCTTGATAGTTAGACCCTAAAGTAAGGCCCTGAGTGTGCAAAGCTCTAAAGCATGTGCTTGAATTTTAAGCACAAGTGATCCCACTGACTTCAATGTGATTAACCATGTGCTTTAAATTGAGCACGTACTTATGTGCTTTGTTGGATTAGAGCCTAAACCATCACCATTGGCATCTGAAGTTTATATCTCTCTCTTCCTGTAGAACGAAACAGTTTCTCTTTTATTCTTCTATGTTTGTAAATATTTGACAAATTGTTTGTGAGAGGAAGGAAGTGTATAAAATCTGTGTATGACACGTCTAATCACTAAATTCTTACAATTCAGGTGTTTCAGATTCATTTGCTAGAGTGCTTGTAATCTTGAAGGCTGCTGTTTGCACTATAAGAACGTGTGCTAAATACTGTAGTAATTAGTGTACAATTAGTAACAGTAAACGAACACTTTGTTTTAAATGTTTTGTGTGAGTATAGAGCTGGATTCTCAGCCGTGGGGAACACAGTCCCCCATTATTCCACAGAACAGATGCAACATAGACAGTAGTGCAAGTTTCCTGAAACTGCCATGTCAATGTGTTTGAACCTTGCCCTGGAGGGGCCACGTCTGGGAAAGAAAGGATAGTTCAATCTCCGTATTTACCAATCCTTGGCGCCTCTGCGGAGGCTGCCAAAAGTGCCAATTTATAGTGGGGATTTGTGTGGATAGAGGCTATCACTTGATCTCCACAGGCCACCAAACAGCCTTCGCATGGAAACAACTTTTAATCACTGCTGACATGGGCTGCATCATAACTGGCAACAGGGCTGTCCTTAGGATTTATGGGGCCCTACACAGTATTATTAAACTGGTGTGCCTATACCTGACAGCAGTCCGGGCTCGCAGCCCGGGGGTGGGGAAGGGACGAGGCAGCAAAGGATAATGTGCCGCCCAGCCCGCCTCATGGCTGTGGAGATTCACAGTTCCCCGCAGAGACTGCCGTATCCTCTCCCTCACGCCGAATGCGTGGCGCTGGCGCATTTGGCTTTGTGAATATGGCCCCTGCCTAAGGAGATTGCAATGCACGCTGGGTTGCGGGAGCCAACCCACTCTTACGTGCTGTCATGGGTAGTGGGTGAAGCTGCCGGTTGGGGAGGCTAGCTCCCCAACCCACCTCTTCTGCCTGTGGCCCCACCCATACTCCACTCCTGCTCCGCCCCACGCCCCACCCCACTCCGCCCAGGCCCCGCCCTCTCCCCACTGTCTCCCTCCTCTTTTCCCTGCCCCCACCCTGCTCACCCCCTTCCAGCCAAATCCCTGAACCCAAATGAAGCAAGTGACATTTGAAAAAAACACTCTTCTGCAATTTCTTTCTAAAGAAAATGGAGCATGTTTTCCACGGCATGCCAGATGGTGAAGACTGGACTTGCAGAAGGTACCTAATTAAAAGCACTAAACTTGGGAATAAAAAATGTCAGTCACAGTTTTTTTGATATGCCCTAAAGTTTGTCAGAGATTTATTTGCAAAAACTTTGTAGTAAGGGCGAGTCAGCTGTCTTGCTGAATACAACATTAAATATTATGGAATACATGATGCAGCTCTTCTCTGTTTTACATTTTCTTAATCAGTATTTCTAAGCTGATTTTATATTTTAAATGTATTCTTAAACCTTCATGAAGTAATCATTCCAGATTACTTCATATTTAACTCACTGAAACAAAGACATTATTTTAAATTAATCAGTCACAGAGGTTTAGTGTGTTCATAACAATGTTCATTGCTTTTAGAAAAAGGGAACATTAATTTACTTTGTGTGATCGCCATAACAATAGACATGTTTATGAAATTTCACCAACTTTAAAAAATGTGTTTCCAAAGATTTTAAGCATAACAAAGGATTTTATATCTTACTTGGTACTGATTTTGCTGGAGGGTTCTCTTAAAACTAGTTCATCAGATAGTCAGAAGTAAAGAAAGGGAAACTCTTTGTCCAGCTATCTGGAAGGAAAGGGGTGTTGTCCGTTTAAGGGCTTTCTTCAGCTGGGGGAATGGGGGGGGGGGGGGGTGAAGGGAGAAAGGGATGGACAAAAAGGACAGGAAGACTTTGGAAGCAAGTTTTTTTTTACTATGGTAATTAAAATTAAAATGTGTATTTTAGATAAGGGTGGTCTTTTGAATGATTTATTTAAAAAACTATATGTCTGAAGATCCAAGCATTTAAGGCTGAAGATGATTGTGCATCTAAAAATCTATGCAAGGATTTTTTAGAGATGTGATTTTCTAATCTTCACCAACTCACTAATGAAATATTTTTAAAGCAAATTTTAAACTAAGGTCCTGTAGACTAACATGTTCTGAGTAAATATTACATTAATGCATAACTGTTTTTGTCAGTAAATTCAGAAATTGACAGTATATACCTGGGGGTTGGCAAATGCCTATTAAACGGCTTCATTACCACTTGAATGGCTCTTTAACAGTTCAATGTTGTGCTAATAGGTCTGGCAGGCTGGAAGGCTTTTTCACTTTTAAGTTACTAGATCCCCTCCAGAGTAAGAGTCAGCAGGCTGCAGCAGCTATCTGTGGGAGCCTGCAGGAAGAGTCAAAACAGGGATAGGAAGAGCCGGGAGGGTGGACATTAAGACCCAGTGGTGCCCTAAATTTTCAGGTTCCCTATGCAGCCGCATATGCTGCATATGCCTAAGAACAGCCTTGACTGGCAACCTAGACTGGCCCAATTTCCTGTGACTGATTCCTTGACCCATCCACTCCCCCAAATAAATACATCAAAATCAATAATGATTTTTGAAATCCTAATTCTCTTAGCTTCCCAGCCCATACAAACTTGCTCACGTCTCCCAAAATATCACTGATTGTTGTATTAGACTTTTATTTATTGATGATGATCTATCAACAGTTACATTTTTTTCTTCTCAATAGGCTTATAAACTGGACAAAACTAGTAAAAATTTCTTTGATGTAGAAGATTTCCATAGTCCTAAAATGGATGATTTCTATGATAGGTAAGTACTAGTGCACATGGCAACTGCAAGGAGAAGAAAACAACTTATTTTTTTTATGGCTGAAGTTAGGATAAGCTAATTTTCTTATTATTGCTTTACTCTTTGCTAAGAAGAGACCCTAACCATTATTCCATTATGGGTTGCCTTTTTCTTTGCCCTTGTTCCTAATTTCTTTCCTAGTAGCTGTGTCATCAGACGCCCCAGCCAATAAGAAGTCCTAATGGCATCTCTTTGGGGGAACTTTCCCCCCAGGATCAACATGTGGATATCCTTTTTCCTGTACTGACCTTTGTGGCACCATATTTCCCCACTACATATCCTGCGGAGGACACTCCATAGATCAGGGTCCATCTGTGAAGAGATTGCAAAAGTGAGGTTCGGGTGACATAAGTGTTCCCTGATAACTAATGATAAATGTATTAAAAAGTGCATTCAGCCTGTATTTGCATGGAGCCTCCTTCATACTGGTCCCTTGTTACCAGATGTGCCCATTACTTTTGGGTATGCTCATTTATTAGGGTTACTCTTCTGGGGAGGGGGGGTTCTGTAATTCTATTAATGTACTGCTTGTGTCACTTGTGTGTTCATATGGAGCTCTACTTCTCCCTTCTGCAAGTCCCCTCCCAGTGGAGCTGTCCTGCAGGACCTAGGTTCCCTAGGGCTGGGTTCCTCCAGCCCCAGAATCAGATGAACACACACACACTCACACTAGGGTGACCTGATCACAGGGATGAAATATCGGGATGCGGGGGGGGGGGGGGAGGGGGGGGGGGCAAAAAAAAACAAAAACGGCGGCGGAGCAAAAACAAAAAAAGCAGTTTCGCAGGGGCCGGGGGCATTAGCAGGCCCCAGCCGCGCTGCCGGATCGCACACAGCGCCCCGGCCGCACACGCTGCCTTCCCCGCAGAGCCTCCCGCCCCCAAGGCCCGCCCCAGGCACATGCGGTGCATCCCGCCGCCGGCGGGGAGCCCCGCGCCTCTCCCACTCGGCTGCGCTCCAGTGGCTCCTTCGCGGCGGGGCGAGCTGCTGGAGCGCAGCTGAGCGGGAGAGGCGCGGGGCTCCCCGGCAGCGGCAGGGAGGTTTATCGGTTCGGGGGACCCCGGCCGGCTTCTCGCCCCTGTCTGCCGGCCGCCCCGCCTGGGACAAGTCTTGCCCCCGCAGCCCCTCTCCGCCGCGTGTCTCCGGCGGGCGGCCCATGTCCCCGGGCTGCGCCGCCCACTCGGGCCCTGCCCGCTCTGCGCTGCCCCCGGACTGACTGCGCTGCCCCGTGGGCTGCAGGGTTGGAGCAGCCTCCGCGCTGCACTGCAGTGCTCCCGGCCCCGGCCAGCCATAGCCTGTGTGCCCAGGCTGCTGCACAGGGGCATCTCCTCCCCAGGCCCGGCTCGGGATCCAATGGGGCAGTGAGGGGGCGGGGCTGGGGGTGGGGATTTGGGGAGGGATCCAATGGGGGAAGGAGGGGGCGGAGTCGGGGCGGGGGGGGCGAGAGCTCCTCCTGTGCGCCGAAGTGGAGGGCAAAATTGTTTGTTTGTCCAGTGTCCCGACCGAACATCGGTCGGGACGCGGGACAAACAAGCAAATAGTGGGACAGTCCCGATAAAATCGGGACGTCTGGTCACCCTAACACACACACACACACGCTAATAGAGCAAGTCTGAGTGGACTGGGTCAATCAGCACTCTCAAGCTGACCCCCTTATATGTCCCTGGACTCAATGGGCTGAGTCAAGCAGCACTTTCAAGCTGCCACCCTTATATGCCACAGGTTCAGCACGTCCCTATCCCCACTTTCACATTACAATTGAACTGGTAGTAATCCACTTGATGAGCAAACCCCACAGTATTTTTGGGCGCTACAGGGATCTTTAGCTTAGGTAAAAACAGCGTTGCTGCAGAGTAAATGGGGAAGCTAAAAACACAAAAGAGTAAAGTTTAGAGAGAGAGAGAGAAGCAACCAGCTTAACCATAAAATATATTTATTAAATAATAGTGATAACTATACAAGGAGGGCTAAACAAACATAACAGTTACATTATTAAAGGTTAATACCTGAGGTAGAAAAGAAAACGGAGAGAGAGAGAGAGAGGGAGGGATCTCACCCACTCCATGAGGCTTGAACTGGTCGGGGTTCCCAGGTGATGGTGGTAGCTCAGGGTCCTGAGTGCTGGAGACAGGCAGAGCCCCGAGCACGATCAGTCAGGAGATGGAGTCCCAGTGGAACTGATGCAGAGTTTGGGTCCATGCATCAGAACACTTACTTGAACATAGGTAGGGGTTTTTGTAGAGAAACAACAATGGTTCAAGGGAGAACACTAGATTTGTTTATGGGTAAACTGATGACTCAAGGGTTTTCTTTAGGCTAGACAATAGGTGCTGATCACTCTTGGCTATGGGTGGTGTTTTCTTCCAGGGAGCTCATGATGCAATTAGGCTGCTTCAGTATTTTGGATATCAATCAAGGATTCATTACTAGAATTGGTCTGATAACTGCTGAGCTGGGTGTGTGCAGGTGTAGGTTCATTAACATCTGGAGCAGAGATCCCCCATGATGCAGTGCTTCCCTGCTTTTCTGGTCCCAGAGTTCAGTGTGATTCTCTGTTCTCCATTCTGTTTGCTAATGGACAAGTCTCCCTGTCCCATCTTTCATGCAGATGAGGCTAGGGGAGCTGTCTCTGTTCTCCATTCTGTATGCTAATGGAGATGTCTTAATCTTGTTCTCCTTGTCAGGAGGGGTCTAGCTGTGTCTCCCAATGCCCTTCACTGCTCTCTGCAAGCCTTTTCTCTGATCGGTTCTGGTTCAAGCAGAGACTGGGAGGGGGTGTGTCTTTCATGAGTCAGACAGGCTGGATACTGCATCCTGGTTCTCCAAGAACACAGAGCTGACTGGTATCACCCTCCTCTCGGAGTGGGGTTCTAAGGGCAGCTGCCAGAAAGGGCAAATGCTGTCCAATACTTGAAAGAGGGGCAAGAAGTCCTGTAGATGGAGCAGACCCACAGGACCTGTTGTAATAATTGTGGTCTAGCAGGCCTCCTTTATTTGTTAGCTTACTTGGTGAAAAGTGGGTAAAATTTCTTGAATTGTCACAATGATCTGTTGTATGAAACTGGTTAAGAAAAGATGTGAGAAGGAGACAGAGAGACTGAATTTCTTTAAACAGAAAGGGTCTACTAATACCACTGAAGGATTTTGTTAAGATTGTAACCGATTACAGGAGTTGAGAGTCGGAAATCAATGAACCAAAATTGGTGTGTCGGAACCAATCAATGAACCAAAATAATGAGAGGATGGATTATTCCACCCACTGCCTTCCTGAGGCCCTAATAAACAGTCTTTGGAGGAAAAATGGGGATATTTTTACCATCACCACAGCTGTGGCGGGATTGTTGCCGTGGCATCAGACTTTGACACTCCAGTGGGGATATTTGACCATCATTGTTGCACAAATGAGGATCCCAACCTGATATATGTGATATTCTGTTTTGTCTTCCCCTTCCTCGTGTGCTTCTTTCTGTCCTGCTCCCTGCCCCCATCTTCCTTCTGTCCCCTCTCTCTCTTGGTTTTTCATCTGATCCTGAAATCAACTAAACTGCATGACAGCAGCACAATGGGATGAGACAGCCCATCCAGCTCTGCTGAGTCTGAGAAGGACCAGTGAAGGACGGGGATCTGACCAAAACAACCAGATGATTTACCTGAGCGGGGAGGTGAGCTGAGATCCAGAGCAACAGTTGTTGTGACTGACTTTCAGCCCAAAGCATCTGTCCATGACTGACCAGCTGCCCTGTATTCTGAGAACATCAACAAAAGCCATATTTTCCCCATCTTTATTATCTTATCTCTTCTCTCCCTTCTGTGTCTATCTGTTTTGCCTAAAGCAACAAAGTGACCATCATTTCCAACTCAGAACTGAGAAACAGAACTAACCCCTTTCCGGGGCGGCTCCAGGCACCAGCGCAGCAAGTGCGTGCCTGGGGCGGCAAGCCGCGGGGAATGGCCTGCCGGTCGCTATGAGGGCAGCAGACAGGCAGTCTTTGGTGGCATGCCTACGGGAGGTCCGCTGGTCCCGCGGCTTCGGCGGCAATTCGGCGGTGGGTATGGCGAAGGCGCGGGACCGACAGATCACCAGCAGAAACGCCGCTGAATCCATGTGACCAGCGGACTGCCCGCAGCATGCCGCCGAACGCCGCCTGACTGCCGTGCTTGGGGCGGCAAAAAACATAGAGCCGTCTCTGCCCCTTTCTTCCCTGCTATGAAGGACTGTTTCATTGAATAAGAGACTTTAACCAATAGTCACTGTCTCAAAATAGAGACTTGACAGGTTTTGAGTAAATTTATTTTGCATAATCAGTTAGTTTCAGTGCTCTTTGCCTTGTTTTGATTCTTTTCTTTTTGTGTGTTTCAATCAATAAATTTCTAACCTGTGGCATGGATTTTAGTGTGTTTGCTCTGGTAATAAATAGGCTGAGGTCTTTGTATACCAAACTATGAACTTTGTTTAAAACTGTTTAATGTTGTATAGTGACTGGGTTACATTAACACCTTTGAGCCTTTAATCCATCTAAATTAATACAACAGACCTCTGTCAAATCCCAAAGGATCTGAAGATTTTGGTGGCCAAAACCCCAGCTCATTCTGTCAGGGGGCAAACTCCACCTCCGAAACAGAATAAGTTCCTTCTGGGGCATTTTTTGGACATTTCTCCTGTAAGAAATTAGGTAGGGTGAGCTAGTTGATATCTTCAATTTGCAGTGATGTATCATGGCTCTCCCTTTTATGGTAAGTAACGCTGGGCAGGGAAAAAATGACAGTCTACTTAAGTGTTTGTAAAATGTGATGTTTTTAAAGTTGGCTTGAGTGTGCGTGGCAGTGGGAAATTTAAATAGAAGTCCTCATTCCTAGAGACAGAAACGCAGATCTCTGCTGTTATACTATCAAGTTGGGGTGGGAGTGGAATCTGTTAATTGTTGCTCACCTGATATGCAATAACCCCCTCAAACTCTCCC